GCGGCGGCGGTAGCTCCAAACGGAAGAGGACACTCCAAGAGGAAGCAGCAGCAGTGGGCACCCCACTGAGGCCAACATCCATGCCGCCGCCACCCACCCACCTCCCTGAGGATGCAAGGGGGGGAATTAAGTCACCCCGAAAAGACGTCCTAGCCGTTTTTTCGAGGCTCAAAGAAAATAAGACCCGACCTTATTTTATGAGAAACACGGTACATAGGGATAAACCACATTTATATACCACTCAAAAGAAACAATATAAAAGCTAAGGAGGAAACAAAAGGTAAGAACACATTGGCTCTGGTACATGTAATCCTCAATTTACAACAGTTCATTTACTGACCATTAGAAATTACGATGACAGCGAAAAAGTGACTTACAACCATTTTTCACACTTATGACCACTGGTCATGTGATTTATATTTGGATGCTTGACAACTGATTTACGTTTATGATGGTTTTAGTGTCCTGGGTCATGTGATCACCTTTTGCAACCTTCTGACAAGCAAAATCAATGGGGACTTAACCATGTTATTAGTGTGTTTCCCTGAAAATAAGCCCTAGCCTGATATTTTGGGGTGGGCCTAATTTAAGCCCTACCGCACAAATAAGCTCAGGGGATAGGCATGGCTAGCACAGGAGGCGGCACACCGACAGTGTCTGGCAGCAGCTGCAGCCCGCCGGCCCCATGGCGCCATGCAGGTAAGTCGGACAACAGAGGCAGAGGAAAGACAGGTGATCTGGATATGCTGCACAGCTGCCTGGCTCACGGGAGGCTTGTGCAGTAGCAGGCAGAGGCATGGGGGAGGCAGGTGATTTTGATGCGCGGACAGAGCGGGTGGTGCATGGGGATCACCTGCCTCCCAGTCCCATGTCTCTGCTTCCGCCTAGCTCCACTGCGTACTTTTTGCCCAGAGGGAGACTGGAAGCTTTGTCTGCTTGCAAACGGGGCATTTTGAAATGGGGCAATTAGCTTTGAAACAGAGCAATTAGTTCAATAAATAAATCGGGGAAGCGTGATAATTTAACAACTGATTCTGTTTGGGATCAATTATGATTGTAAATCAAGGGCTACCTGTGGTCACGGCCAGATAAGCAGGGATTAACAGCAGATATCAATCAAGCAGAAAATAACTTAATCAAGGAACATGAAACCAAACGTTACTCTGCCTCGACAATCCTGATCAGTAAAAGAAATGGCCACAAATTAGAAATACACATCTATTCAAAACACCCCGTACTATCCAACTGCTCCATTACCGAAGTAACACACATTACCAAGCCTCACAACAGGAACTGTGTAAAAACATTTTTCAAATGAGCACAAATGCATTCCAGCAACCCAGAACACTAAAAAAGAAAAAATACTGCCTCTTCATCTTCCGATAAAATGGATACCCATTCAACTCTATTGAAAAGGAAAAAAAAAACCGGACTCCTCACCCCACTGTGATAGCATTACCAACACAAGCTACGACAAGGATAATATTGCTACGCATCAAAATATCTCAGAAACAACCTACAGATTATTACAAACACCCAGCATCACCATAACCTACGAAACTAACTAAAGCCCTCCAAAATGTCGTAAGTCAACCAGATGGCCTAGTAGCCCAAGGACAAAGAACAGGACTTACCTACAGCATATATTGTAAGGACTGTAACAGTCACTGTGTAGGACTAACAAGAAAGGCAAAACGTCAGGAGACCATATCCGTGAGCACCAACTAGCAGTCAGAAGATACGATAAAAACTCCTTAACGCAGAAAGAGACTCAGCTAGGAAACTGTGAGCATACTAGACCAAACAAAATTCCTCAAAGCTAGGGAATTCTTGGAAGTTTGGCACTCTTGACATCAGCCACCAATAGACACATTTACACACCATTCAAAGGAGACAATAAAAAAGCTGAAGGAAACAGAACTATCACATTTTTTTTTCCTGCAACCAACAGCCAGATAAGCAGAAACTTTCATTGCATGGAGGTTGGAGGCATCAAAGTGCTTCCAGGTTGAAAGGATCAGCTGGTGACATTATTGTTGCCCAGGGGATACCCAGTTGGGGGCTCATTTCACGTCCTCAGCAGGAGCTGGAGCAAAGGACAGGAGATCATCTTGCCCTAGGAGAGCACTGGTCAGGTCTCAAACATGAACTTGCTGCTTGTCAAGCCAGCGTCCTAACCATGCAAGCCATTCTTAAGCAGGGATTAATACCCTGTGTAAACAACCAAGCTGAAAAAAAATCAAGCAGAAACAATACCCTAAACAATGAACTTCCAATATAGTTCCTTGTGGTGTATGTACATGTGTCCTTGTGATATATGTTCATATGTGCTCATCCCTTAATCCCACACACATGGCCAATGTGCACAGGATCATATATACCAGTGATGGCGAACCTTTTGGTTGTGGTGTGCTGAAAGCGTGCACGTGCGTAACAGCATGTGCGTGTGCCGGCACCCACAATGCAATGCGCCTCGTCCTCCCTGCTCATGTGCACGCAACACCCCCCTTACCTGCACTGCACATGCACAGCTGATTTTCAGCCCGTTTGAGGCCGTTTTCGCCCTCTCGGAGGCTTGAGAGAAGCCTCTGCAGCCACAGGAGGCCGAAAAACGGGCCTTCCGGAAATACCAGAAGTGCCCATTTTCAGCATCCGGAGGGCCTCTGGAGCCCAAGGGAGGCTGTTTTCGCCTCCCGAAATACCGGAAGTGATAAAACAGGCCCCCTTTTCAGCCTCCAAAGGCTGCAGAGGCTTCCCTTGAGCCTCCGGGAGGGCGAAAACGGCCTCAAATGCGCCTAAAATCAGCTGGGAGGCACGTGCATGTGGCTCGCATGCCCACACAAATAGCTCTGCACCCCACCTATGGCACGCATGCCATAGGTTTGCCATCACGGATATATACTGTTCGTAGTACATTCATATATCCTTGTGATATATGACTCTAGTCTGTGTATGAAACCATGACTATTACTTGATAATTAAATCAGATTTCATATTAAATAAGAAACTCAAAAAGTAAGAAATAAACATTTTGCCATAATTCATAATCAATAAAGCTTATACCAAAAAGAGTTCTCCCTCCTAAACAGAAGGTAGGTTGTCTTTCAGTCACGTTCCTACCTCTGAAAATCTGCTCCATTTTATCCCATGAACACTTTAGAGATACTGGTTTACTATCTTAATTAATATTTTGAACATACAAGTAATCCCTGAGTTACGAGAATTCCCTTGGCAAACATTCAAAGTTATGTGATAAGCGCTCCCTAGCACTTGCAAACAAATGCCAAAACTGCGAATCTTCCAATACCACGGCAGTTGTTCGCCCTTGCAAACAACTGTAAAGGCTCTGCAACATTCGTCCCGGATGTTGCTGGCCGAAATGGAGCTTCTGAGGGATGGGTCTGCCGTCCATTTCAGTCAGCAACCTGCCAGGCAAGGCCTGCGGAGACCTGAACGGAACTGCAGAGGGGCGCACACAGCTGAGAGGCTGGAGAGTAGACTGCTTGTTAGATCTTCACAAGGTAAGTGACCCGGTGTGGCAGGTTGGGTGAGGGGGAAAGCAACTGTGGCGGAGCGTGAGGTATTTCAGTGGATTGGGGAGGCCTTGGGTGCTCTTAGCAGTTGGCCTGTTCCGTCACTAGGCCCCTCCATGGCCTTCCCCACTCTGAAATACCTCGTGTGCACTTAACGAGCCTTGCATTCAATTAGCAAATACATGGGCGAAAGGAGTGAGTGATCCCATTCAAGGTACGAGATTCACCCTCATGAATCATCAGGTTACAAATGGAATGGGCATTCATAACTTGAGGACTACCTGCATTTCTCAAAACACTACGTGGAACCATGTTCCAAAAACCCTAATTAATTTTTAACTAATTGCCATTATTTAAAACCAAAGGGGAAAACTCAATAGGCTTAATTCAGCTGTAAATAGAAGCAAATAACAACGTATATCAATTGGTGGCCTGAGAGGAGAAAGAGCGTATTTATAAAAGTGTATCCATTTTCTTAGAAATCAAGTATATTACGAATCATGATATACTATATATATATATATATATATCTATATCTATATCTATATCTATATCTATATCTATACAGAGACACATTCAGCTGAATGTATAAAACCTCTTATAAGAATCTTAGCGATTATTATACGAAAGAAGACATTAGAACAATCATTAAATGCAAGTTCTGAAGCCCTTAATTTGCTTTAAAAAGAAGAGAATAATGCAATAAATATTTATGTTAGTACCTGGAAAGCTATAGCTTGACTGAGACTGTCAAGAGCCGGATCTTCACCCTCATCTTCACTTTCTTCTTCTTCTCTGAACAGCACAAAGGAAACGGGAAAACCCACATACATTGAATTGTACAGAACAGGCACTTAAATCAGTACGTGAGAATGGGAATATGTGTTGTGCATATTTTACTCACATTTCTTCTTGTTCAATTACTTTTTTCCTTTTCTTTTTATCTTTCTTTTTGGGAGGTTCACGTTCTCCTAGCATGTTTTTAGGACACGCATAACTTAAATGTCCTATTTCCTTAAGAGAAAGCAAATACTATTGAACAAGGTGAACTTGGAGAATATTACTTTTTACTTCTTCATAAATTTACCTTGTAAACAGTAGAGTTCTATTCATTTATAATTACTCTTGGAAAATGTAGCATTGTATATAGTTTAAAAAAATTATCTTAACTGACTGTACCAATTGATAACCATTGGTATGTAGTTTCAGTGGATGGCATTAGCATAAGAACATGGCAAAACAAATATTTTGTTGGGACATCAACATTTACTCACTCCACATTCGTAACATTTTGACTTGTCATAGTAATTTCTCCTTCGGATGAATTCTGCAGCTCTTCCATTATCAATAGCGATACTTGCTTTTATTACTCTTCCAAATAGCTAAAAAAAAAAAAATACAATTTTAGTTTTCAGAATATCTCAAAACTTACTTAATAACATACCCTTGTCACTTACTTGTTTATTATTAAGTGCCCGAGAACAGTTCTGTGCTGACTCTTTATCCAAGAACAAAATAAATGCAACACCTTTACTTCTTCGTGTGTCTTTGTCTTTCATAATTGTAACTCTGAAAAAAAAATATTAATATGTTCACGTACTATTACAAACAGAGAGGAAAGTTTTTCAGGTTGCCCATACTGGTTTTCATTCATTTCAAATTCCAGAAAAAGGGCAACTATCAAAATAAACACAGCATGAGAACATCCATAAAAACTACTAATGAAACTCAAATAATTTTCAATAAGGGACATTAGAGAAAAGGTTACTACATTAAACTCAAAGAATAGCCTTTATTGAGAATCATGATATATGAAAAGTGTTTCTAAAAAGAGAGACAAAACAATAAATCATGTCCTATTATTCATGTCCTATTTGTGAACTCCACATTACAAATGTATGCATAAGACTAAGATCAACAAGTGTACTATCAGAGCAGTATTCTCTTATTCTTTCTCATAAAAACATGCTTTCAGTTTTTCCTCTAAAATAAGCTTAAAATAAAAATCCGTAACGGTATTGCTTATTAAAATTCTAAATCTGTTTGACAGATTCTTATTCCAGTTGTTCAACCTAGCATTGCTGGAATGTAATAGGACCGAGATTTTATTGATATAAAAACCAGCCTGTTTACTGCCTAATACCTCTGTCCATAAAGATCCTTGGCACTCCAAGTATTTTGGACTTGGAAAACTTCAGCATACATACCATATTCAATGTAGTTCAGGATGTGATTGCGAACTATGACAGTTGTAGGCCTATTTAAAGTCTTAGATAGCAGACACCAAATAATCTATTAGCTGAATTTGGTTTCAGAACTGATGTGTGTGAAAAAAATGCAATTTATATTGGCCATTGTCTCTGATCATTTCCCCCCAAACCTCTAAAGATCTTCTCTAAGCTTATTTATTTTAGGAACCAAAAATAGTTTAGATATAAAAACAATTGTTTCTAATTGTTCCAAATTAGAACAATATCCAAAGCCTTAGGGAAACTTTGGCAGTAGGGATATTGGTGAAGTGTAACTCTCAATATCCCCTCTTCATTGATCTTGCTAGCTGGACTGCTAGGAGATAGTTTAACCTTTTATGAAATGTCAAAAAATTTGCATTCCTGCCGTGCAAGGAAGAGCACAAAATGTAAAGTGACCAAGACCAGATAATACTTTACAGTTCAACTCACGATTTATTCTGTGGCAATGATGGTCAATAAAATAACTTCTTAAACTGGTTAAATAGTGACAGAAGTTCAGAAAGTTTATGGATCATTGTATTAAACAGTGGCATATTCTTTCTATTTAGACTTAAGATCAGATGGATGGATAGATTACCATATTTTTCAGATTATAAAACACAATCCCCCCCCCCCCCCCAAGTAGATAGAAATGTCTGGGAGTCTTATAGAGCGAATGTTTCGGAAGCCCGGCCCAGCCGCCAGCCCCCACCCTTCGGCCTCTGCCTCCCAACGATTTGCCTCTTTGTAGCAAACAGCCTGGTCAGCTTCAGCGCAGCCTGATTTAGCACAAGCAGCTGATGGGCAGTTGGATCTGCCTCCTGAAATACCAATGATCAGCTGTTCCAGGCGGTGGGGATCGCCGCTGCTGCCACCCATCGCCACTGCCACCTATTGCCGCCTCTGCGTGCCCCATTTCCGACCTCCGCGCATTCCGTTTTTCAGCTTCCGCACGTTCAGTTTTTGGCCCGTACCAGACAGCAGGGATAAGTGGCAGCGGCGGTGGGAAAATCACATGTGCCTGGTGGTTCTGCTTCACCATTAAACCGTCCTTCCAAGCAGCCTCCATGTTTCCAGTGTCTTTCTTCCCACTTGGAACTGAACCCAGATGGACATTCCCTCCAACAATTTGGCACCCCAAAGATGGGACTCCAAGCTAACCTTACCAATGGACCTGGCCAGGTAAGCCTCCCTTGCCAGCAGCAGACCCATTGAATCTGGGTGAATTTTCCTGGACCTTGGCTACTTGGAAAAGGGTTTTAAAAGGGGTTTGAGTGTTGAGTTCGAAGGCTGCTTGGAAGGAAGGTGAGTACCTCTAAATTTTAATTTCATAGCCCAGAAAAATGAGGGAAATGTGTGTATGTCTCTGTGTGTGTGAGTGAGGGGATCCTTCTCCCTATCACAGCTGGATCTTGCTTCCTCTGTGCCTTTTCCAACCACAGAAAGCAGAACCTGAAAAGTAGAGGGGTCAGGCCAGAGCACAGGACCTTCTGTAAGGGAAAGGGGAGTGTGTGTGAAAGTGGAGGGGAAAAGTGAACGAGAGAGTTGAACTGGGGCAACTAGCTGGGAAGTCTCTGAGCAAAGCCCTAAAAAGGAGGGGTCCTTACTTCTGAGAAGCAAGGAGAGGTCCTCCTGGACTTTAGTGAGTCCAAAAATTGAGGCGGGAAAAGGAAAATGGCCAGGGAAGGAATGCCCATACTCACTGTGGGGAGCAGCAGAGTCCTCCGGGACCCCTTTTTGGTCTAAAAACTGAGATGGGGGCAAGAGTTTCACTATTAAGCCCAAGATTTGCCGGCACGAATTGAATCCCTACATCGGAAGGGGAACCATGGGATGCTCTAGCTCAAGAGTCAGGGTAGGCTCCCTGGGAGAAGACCTGATTGACACCTGGGACAAAAAGAGGCAGTTACCTGTCCAGGTGGGCATGAAAAAAGAAAAAGGTCCCTTCTAAGTGTTATTCTGTTATTCTGACACCTTTTCTCAGGACATCTACTCAGAGTTTGGCATCAGTTTTCATGACTGAGCAGGGGGTTGGACTAGAAGACCTCCATGGTCACTGAGGCCCTTTTGGCCTTTACTTTCCAGATCATTTCTAATTCCTCCTTCAGGCCTGGTATTTCTCCAGCTTCTCATACTCTTTTCTTCTTGATGTTTGTCACTCGGCACCACTCACATCTATCATCACTGTTGCCCTCTGGTCTTTGTCTATTTACCATGGTGTCTCGTTGATTGACTAGTATCTAAGGTGTTAGTCTGAGCTCTGAGTCTGGCAATTTTATTGCAAATGTTGTATCCCAATTCAATGAGACATCCTCAGTGCATTTTGAATTGTGCTGGTCTCAGAATACGGGTCTTTAAATACCTCTTGTTTTTTATGAGATACAAATTAGTCTGAACGTTGTTTGTTTGGGTATTTCTGAGTCATGGTCTGATTTCGAACTGTTTGATTGGCTGGCTGTTGTTGCTGGGCTATAGTTAAATACCCTCCATGTGATGCAGATTAGGATTAGAGTGGTTTATGTGGGTGCTTCTGAGTCATGGTCTGTTTTTGGCTTGTTTGATAGTTTGAGTGGCTGGCTGTTACCGACACATGGTCTGATTTCTTGTGATGGGTTCTAATTTTGTTGCTGCGTAGTGGGGTGCCTGTTTTTTTCGTTTGGCTAGTATCTACCTCTCCATCTGGATATATATGCCAAAAGCACACCTTGCTTGTCATGTACAACTGTCTTCTTGCTTGTATGGCACTATATTTTTACAACATACCACACTAAATACCATAACAAGAAATGGTAAAATAAGAACTTTTGAAGATCCATGCCCCCTAAAATATTTTTATAGTAAGTTCATATAGGAGTGGCAGTAACATCGTCTTAGTATCCTATGTTAAGGTCTTGGGATTTAAGAGTCGACCAGCAGTGAAGCTGATGCAATATAGGCTGATGCAAAAAGAATGACTCAGAATATCATGAGTATTTCCCTTTAAGACTGGGGATGGGTCCTACCCCTTTAAGAGGTGTTTCTATAAAGGCAGCCATTAGAGGGCATGTCCTCTCTCCTTGTGCCCGGTATCCATTGCAGAAGTTCTTTGTGTAGAGTTAAGAAGAAGAAAGATTTCTTGGAAGGTATTTTGCCTACCACGTATATGTCTGTATATAACTGCTGTATATAAACCACTGTTAAATGTCTAAGTCTCTGTGGGCTGTGTTTTGCTCCTGGGTTGTCTCATAATGGTAGTCGCGCTGCAAACGCTCTGACATCCTATTACAAAAATTGCACATGTCAAAAGATCTTGTTAAATCGAGGGTGTTGGTGTTATTAGACACATTAAAGAATAAGCTGCATACAATTTGATATTTATACTTACTTAACTACTTTCCCATATTTTGAAAAAATCTGAAAAGAGAGAAAAATATATAGTTTAGATTAGATATAAAAACAGGAAAGTAAATTCTTTACAAAATATATATAAATATAAATGCTCTATGATTATTCACACAATTAGATAGATTCAATTCTAATGTTTAATTTTAAAGTATACTTACTCTGTATAAGTCATTGTTTGTCAATGAAAAGGGCAAATTAGATACATAAACTGTGCTTTTGCTTGGTGCTAATCCTCCACTCATATTTTTTCTAGAAACAAAAAAGAAAATGTCATGTGAAAAGGAAGCCTCAAATTAAAAATATACAGGGTAATTTCGCAACAATCTTACCTACCCTGAACATAATAGTGTTTAACAATGAAAACAATTATGGCAGAAAAAAGATGGTTAGGTTTTGTGCCACTTTGTTACACTTTTTCCAATGTTTATCTTTAGGGAACAAATTTCCTTCCTACTTTCTGCATTCCCTTCAATTTATGCAAGGAAATACTAATCCTATTCACATAGACCATGAGCTAAGAATTCTAATTAATTCTGCAATATAATCAAATATACCAACATATCTGGAAAACAACAGCGGCCAACAGGATGGAAGAGATCAATTATTCCAACATAAAACAAAGGAATAAATATGTTTACTGACACACACTGGATAATACTAGCTAAAGAATACTTCCAGTGGATACAGGTACTCCTTGACTTATGGCCACAATTGAGCCCAAAATGTTCTGTTATTGACGTGTTAAGTGAGTTTTGTCCCATTGTATGACCTTTCTTGCCACAGTTGAATGAATCACTGCAGTTGTTAAGTTAGTAACACAGCTGTTCAGTTAATCTGGCTTCTCCACTTACTTCGCTTGTTAGAGGTCACAGGTCACAAAATGTGATCGTATGACCCCAGGACACTGCAACAGTCATAAATATGACTCAGTTGCCAAGCAGCTGAATTTTGATTATATGACCATGGGAATGCCACAACAGTCGTAAGTGTGAAAAAGAACATAATTCACTTTTCTTCACTGTCATTGTAACTTTGAACGGTCAGTAAACAAACTGTTGCAAGTTGAGGACTACCTGTATGTACTTCCCTGAAAAAGAAATGCCTCTAACTATATTGATCATATCAATGTGAGAGGTTCTTTTGGGGCGGCGGGGGGTGGGGGGATGAGGTTGCTGGGTAAAACTTCAAATATTATTTTTCATATATTCTGTGGTTTAAATGGGAGGCAGCAATGGACAAGAAAATGAAGAAAAATACAGTGAAGAAGTCTGTCTATGTGTATAAGGGAATTTAAATTTATTTCTTGACCTTCGTTAAAGAATCATCTTTTTTTTTGGTGAATGTATTAGAAGTCCGAAATAAATGAGCTTGTACATTGTTTTCAAAACTATGAATCTGTTTTTGCTTGCCAGGTTGGCAAAAAGGATGTTTTCAGAATGTTTTCAGTTGGGAACTCCTGCATTTTCTGACCTCAGACAAAATGAAGGAAGTTTTGTAAGTCTGAAATATGTTTAATGACGAACATTGGCAGGGAAGGTTTCAATGTGGGTAAAGGAAATAAATTTAAATGTAGCATTTACATTTTGTTCATGATAACTTGGTTATCACTCTTTGCTACCTACATACGTTTATCTTTGGAGGGCAAAGCGCTCCCAGAGGCATCAGCACGAAAGCAACATGTGATCAGGATGTGAGTCCCAGCCCTTTTGTATATGTGCTGCAACATCTGAGCTTGTATGAAATAGGTAGAAACTGCATTGCCACATTTTATCCTGCAGGTGCCTCCATGCCATCCTCCCTTTATTCCTAGTTCATTTGGGAAATAACACTGTTAGCAAAGGTATACATACCCAAATTCAATACTACTTACCAAAGGATTTTAAATGTTCCAATAACTTATCTATTATTTTGAAGAGGAAAAAGAGAGAGAGAGAGAAAAAACCTAAGGAGCAACCTGACAAGTCCCTCCCCACTATAGTTTGGGAGAAAAGTACGGTAGCTCGAGAAATGAATGCACAGAACTGCAGACTATGAATGGTCCGTCATTCTTTTGAGATACCTTATTTCTGCTAATCCATCATTCAGAAGAATACAGATCACCGTTCAACAGCAACTAGAGGCAACGCAAGGTCCTTGACAAAAAGGGAAGGCACCCGTTGACCCAGGAATTAGCCCAAGGCAGGGGTCTCCAAGGTTGGCGACCCCTAGCCTAAGGAACCCGACCACTTCGTTCCCGGTAGGATGAGGCCATTGTGACAAGAATGAAAAACAACGGAGGCACGAAGGCGGGGTCGAAGAGGACCCATAGTGTTTCCCTTCCTTTTATTCCGCCGCGGATCCAACCAAAACAGCCCGGCTCTTACCAGCCTCCGCTCTCGACGCTCTGCAAATGAGACGCGCGCGCGCGCTGGGGGGCCGCCCGTCAGGATAAGCGCAGGTGGAAGCGGCTCATTTGCACGCGGAGGGGAAAGGAACCGTGCAGCGCCGAGGCTTGCTATCCGCTCCTACGGCAACGCCAGCAAAGGCGCAGCTCCTCCCGCTCCTCCATTTTGCCCGGCGGTACTTGCGGCTTCCAACTTGTGGGCGGGACTCGGGAGGAGGAGGAGGAGGAGGGAAAAAAAAAAAAAAAGGAACGGGGATGCCGTCGCTTTCCCGGTGACGTCACCGGCGCGCCGGAAGCTTCGGATCACAGCGCTTGTAATAAGCGAGCCTTTGATTTGCGGCGGGGGAACTTGGTTTTGGGCTTCGGA